TTTTTTTGGTTACCCAACTGTTTCGGTTGGATCTGGGTATTACGGCTGTGTCGTTGATCTTGTTTATGACTCGCTTGGTCAGTGGTGAACGATGCTTTCCGTTTTGAGATCTGTGGTTGTGCTGTTTGTGAATGTGGTTCGTGGATCTGGAAATGGTGTTTTATTTGTGTATAGATGTTGGTTCTATTTTGTGTTATTTTGGGCTTGCTGATTGTTGGTAGATGTTGCTCATTTGTGTTCCAGTTCATGCTTTTATGCTGTTTTTTAATGAAATTATTTGGGATCTGAGGTGAAGATTTAATCTTTACAAAGATTTTGTGGGGATCTTAATGATTAAGAGGTGAGTGCAAGTTTATTGATTTACTTGTTACTGTGTTGACAAAATTGATTTCTAATTTTCTCACCCTCTTTCTTAAAGGTCATAAATTTCAGTTATGCAACTTCATATTGATTCTGAAAATAGATGACTATGTTTTGTTGCTGCTTCAGATCATTTGTATTAGTATGGTCTCTGAGACAGTTTAATATTCACATCATATCCTATTTTGACGACCAATATCAAATCTTGGTACTCTGATCCGATATATTCTCTTGGGTGGAAATCGGTCTTCATTGATTAGAACATGCTTTTTGTAGAAAATGCATCATGTTGACTGGCACCCATATTACTTCCTGGATGATTCTTGATGTATATGTCATAGATCTCGACAATAAATGATTTAATTTAGACAGTTCGTTTTTGCAAGTTTACCTGTTAATGCCACATCACTTGCTGTTGTCTTAAAATGCTAGATTGATTTATTTTTAGTGCTTTCGAAGATCATTCGCAAGATTGCATTAAGTTTTATCGGATCTCCTTTCCCGTTTATCCATGGTAGAAAAAATAAAAAGTCGAACTTTTATCATCAGATCATATTAAGAGATGGCAGAAGCAGAGGATATTCAGCCCCTTGTTTGTGACAATGGAACTGGAATGGTGAAGGTAATCGTTATCGTAAATTATATTCATTGATCTTGCGATATGTTTAATGCTTTGAAGGCTTAATGTTATGTGGATGTCAAACTTTTCAGGCTGGATTTGCTGGAGATGATGCTCCAAGGGCTGTCTTCCCTAGTATTGTGGGTCGCCCTCGTCACACTGGTGTGATGGTTGGTATGGGCCAAAAAGATGCTTATGTTGGTGATGAAGCCCAATCCAAGAGAGGTATTTTGACACTCAAGTACCCAATTGAGCATGGCATTGTCAGTAACTGGGATGATATGGAGAAGATTTGGCACCACACTTTCTACAATGAACTCCGTGTGGCTCCAGAAGAGCACCCAATTCTCTTGACTGAAGCTCCTCTTAATCCCAAGGCCAATCGTGAAAAAATGACTCAAATCATGTTTGAGACCTTTAATGCCCCTGCCATGTATGTCGCGATTCAGGCTGTTCTCTCCCTCTATGCCAGTGGTCGAACAACTGGTAAGAAAATGCTAAACCATCTATAGTCTCTCTTCTATTTACATTAATGCATGGCATATTGCGTGATCTGATAAATTTATATTCATTTCTTCGTTAAAAATTGACCCTTTGATAATGGATATATATAAGCATGTCCATCTGTGCATAAAATGTATGTAATAGACATGAGGCACTTTAGGGTGTGTTTGTTACCACATGACCAAATTTAAACTATCATCTTCAAACATTTTCCGATTTTTTTTTTTTTTAAATGTATGCTACATGAGGCACTTTAGGGTGTGTTTGTTTATAAATATTTTCAATTCATACTCAATTTATTCTCAAAATCCAACTCAACTTTAACTCAACCCCACTATCCTCAATACTATTAATATAATTACATAACATCAATAAATCATTCTTACGTATCACATCAATTTTATTCACTATTCGTCCACTCACACAGTTTTAACTAACCACCCTTTCACATCATCTTTCTTCTACTTTTACATTAAATCAACTTGAATTATTTTATTTTAAATATTATTTTAATATAAATGCACAATCTCACTAACAACTAACCATGAGGTTAACAAAAACACTCATTTTGAGCGGATATATTTGCATCCAAGCACGCCCTTAGAGTAAATGCAACGGTAGATCACCTAAGAGCATATCCTAGGATGCAATAAAAATTCTGTCATTGTTTTAATGTGTTGTTGTTTTGTATTGTGGATGATATAATACCATACACAACACATCAGAAGTTATACACCCAAACTTCATTCTCTCTTGTTAACAGGTATTGTGCTCGATTCTGGTGATGGTGTCAGCCATACAGTCCCCATCTACGAGGGTTACGCCCTCCCCCACGCCATCCTCCGTCTCGATCTGGCAGGTCGCGACCTGACTGACCACCTCATGAAGATCCTGACCGAGCGCGGCTACTCCTTCACCACAACAGCCGAACGGGAAATTGTGAGGGACATCAAGGAGAAGCTGGCCTACATTGCCCTCGACTATGAGCAAGAAATCGAGACTGCCAAGACCAGCTCTGCTGTTGAGAAGAACTATGAGTTGCCCGACGGGCAGGTGATTACCATTGGAGCCGAGCGGTTCCGCTGCCCGGAGGTCCTCTTCCAGCCGTCCATGATCGGGATGGAAGCTGCTGGAATTCACGAGACTACTTACAACTCCATCATGAAGTGTGATGTGGATATTAGGAAGGATCTGTATGGGAACATCGTGCTGAGTGGCGGGTCCACCATGTTCCCGGGCATTGCCGACAGGATGAGCAAGGAGATCACTGCTCTGGCACCGAGCAGCATGAAGATCAAGGTGGTGGCCCCACCTGAGAGGAAGTACAGTGTCTGGATCGGTGGTTCTATTCTGGCCTCTCTCAGCACTTTCCAGCAGGTATGTGTAATTTCTTGTCTGAATGAGTTGCATATAGTGTTTTATGTCATTAACTGTGGTGGGGCTGTGTTTCTCTGTGAACAAATGGGCTGTTTAGCATCTAGTTTTACTTTTACATAGGAGAGCAAATAGAAAAGCCTCCTTTTGGTTTGTATTTATTTAGATTTTTAATGTAAACAAGACCAAAGCACAATTTTCGTAATAATCTGTTTATTTACGGGATTTGATTGCTAGAGCCTCTGGCGCCACATATAACCGGCCACTAAAACAATTTCTCAAGGTAAAAGAGCAATGTGCAGCAGCCTCAGAATTTCTGCTGATTGATTTTATTGTGTTTTTCTAATGCAGATGTGGATAGCCAAGGCAGAGTATGACGAGTCTGGGCCATCGATCGTCCATAGAAAGTGCTTCTAGAAATATATGTGAAGGCATATGCTGTGTCTCGTTTGCTTTTTCCCTATGATTTCTTTCTTTTTTTTTGGGTCTGGCCTCTGGTCTTTCTTTTCTCTTTTAAGATTGGAACATTGGATATGGCGACAGTATTCAATTTTTCCTATTTTAAGTTTGTAGAAGAGTTGTGTAATTTGAAAGGGTACTTAATGGTTTGAGTTTTGTGATGGTCACATAAAATTTCTATGCTGTGTTAATTATTTGTTTCTTGGTTCCTCATTGTTACATTACATACCTTGCTTTCATGAAAACAAGTGCGAATTTGTTGTGTTACAGGAAAAATGCACTCTTGAATTTTGCGGTTACATATCATATTATAAAAGATTGCTTCATTAGTCTCCAAAAATGTTGGAATCTTGATCTATACTGTAGTTACACAGAAAAGTTCTGGTACGATCAATACGAAACTTTTGACTTGGCATTTCAAGCTAGACCTGCCATGTTCAAGTGAAATAGGGGCCAAAAGTCTGCCCTAACAATTAAAATGTATTTTCAAATCATTAAGTACCAAATCTCATTTCTTATGCTTGTCGAAAATGCTTTTTCATTATTCATGGAATCACGAGTGAACGCCATACAAATGCAGTATAAACATCTTTACTTACTCGTGCATTGAGACCCAAAAAAACAGAAGCAGAAGCATAGAAGACTAACCAAGATTCACTCCATACAAATGCAGTATAAACATCTTTACTTACTCGTGCATTGAGACCCAAAAAAACAGAAGCAGAAGCATAGAAGACTAACCAAGAAGGATGGGTTGCAACGGCCAAATATTACAGAGCAATAGAGTACGTTACTTAAACTTACACACAGCTTGTTCAGATGAAATGAGATTGAGAAATTAGATATATTCCAACCGTGAACGAAAGTAACAGATATACACAACCAACTGGCCCAAAAAGGCCGCCAAAATTCCATGAAAGTGACGAACGAAAAATGTGCACGTGGATGAAAAAACTCAAAACTTGTTGCAGTTATCTTTTTCGCGAAATTAACTATCAGCTTTCATACTAGAAGTTGAAATTCGATGGCCCAATGGTATCAACAAATCCCCTTACAGATAGCTCAGGGCCAGAATCAACATTACCCAAAGCCTCGTGGTCTATGAAGACAACAACAACAGTAATATCATCGTGGATATGTCTCCTTACGCCCTGGTCAAGCTTCTTTACTTCATTGTATGGTATTTGTCTGGTCATAGATGCTCTCTGTAAAGCTGTTACCACTAGTCTTCTGGCTATACCCTGATAATGTGTCACGAAATATATGGGCAAGAACATCATCAAAATGCACTAATAAAACAGGATAGTTGTTAAAAAAATTTGAGCTACAAACAAATTCAAGAAGTTGATTAGATCAAACGCTGAGCTCAGTGAAAATTATGACAAGATATAAAACCTCCTTTGTTTTCTTTTTAAGTATATTTCAATTGTTGGTTTAAGCAAAAGCTTCAAACAGTCAAACCTTGGGGGATTTCTTGTAATTATTCCCAAGCAGGAAGTTATCTAACAAGCTTTTTTGTGACCTAACAAGCTTATCTTGTAATTATTCCCAATAGAACATGGTTAAGCTTTTCTTGTAATTATTCCCAATAGAACATGGTTAAGCGAGAGTATTAGAACAAAAAGCACACCGTTCTTGGATTATTATGAACTATCTCGACAGCCTCTTGATTCGTCAAGTGTTCCCAAAGACCATCCGATGCGAAAATGATGAATTTATCAGTGTTTACTAAATCTCGGATGACCATGGCTGGATCGGATCTTAACACGGGCTGGCGAAGAGGTTCAGGAAGGTGGAATCTAGGGAAAGACGAGTCAAGTGCAAATTCTGGCCTTTTCAGATAAGCATCGCCTATTGATCTTGATACCTGAAAATAAATGCAACGGTTAAATATCCAATAAAAATATTGCAAAAGATATAGTAGAGAGAGAGAGAGAGAGAGAGAGAGAGAGAGAGAGAGAGAGAGAGAGAGAGAGAGAGAGAGAAATCAAAATCAAACTTCTGAGACCTAAAGCTCAGTAATTACAGTTTAAAAGGCAACCTGAGAAGTAAGCATAAACTGCTTACATAAACGTCAAATAAAACCAAACAGGAAACAAATGCTAGTCAGTGAAGGTTTATTGTGACATTAGGTCGCACTAAATATCTTAAAAAAAATTCAGGATAATCGCAATAAGTCATTTTGACATTTATATAAATGGTACAACTCACTTTCAAGTTAAAATAAAATCAAAGCTCATAAATTTGATTTTTTTTTTTCCCCTCAGAGAAATGTTACAGAGCTAATATTTACCAAAAATCATTTACATTATTAAGTGAAGTCACATATGTACCTGTATGATCCCCTTGATACGCCAAACCCCTTGCTTCATAACCAGAATCTGTGAATCATCCGGATGGAGAGCTTTCAATTCTTTTCGGACCTCCTCCATGCTCGCATTGTGATCTGCCGTCAACTGCTCGGCAACAATTTCATTATTCGACCGATCCATGCAGCCCATAACAGCTCTCGAGTCCCCCAAATTGGCGACAAATAAGATACCTTTCCAGATAACCCCGACTAAACAACACGACCCGATTGCTGCAATTGCTGGTTTAATTGTGTAAGCTCGCCTAACAAGGGTCAGAAAGCCTTTTTCCGTTTCAGACAATGCATTCTTAATGACATCTTTAGATATCTTTCCATTTTCTCGTGCAAGGGCTGTGAAACAAAAAAGTTGGATCATGTCACACTCTGAGTAAATGGGTAAAGAAAAAAAAATATTTGCAGAGAACCCTTTTTTTAAGTGTTTGCAGAGATTCCGAAAATATCTTGGCTAAATCTTAAGAAACCAATTGTTATATGTGGGAAAAGAATTTATCCTTCATTCAAGTATCAAAGACATTCAAAGCAGCAACTAAAGGTTCATAGCAATCATATAATCATAAACATAAAAATATCAGCAAACTATGGATCAATAAGGAAAATTGAAATCGATATAGACTAATAGAAGATGAGAATAGCACCACGTCCCATGATGGCTCCTATACACTCGAACAACACAGAAAATAACAAACCATCCCATTTGTTAGCAAAGTGTTGTCCGTCACCTAATCCCTTCATTTATATCTAATTAGTTTCTCAAAGAATCTGGCTTGAACCCCCTTGTTAGAAAATAAACAAGCAACAATAGGAATGCCGAATGCACAACACGCACAATAGATCAAATGAAGCAGCATCGAAATAAAACAAACACATAATCATTTGCACGACAACAGATATGGGAAGTCTAAAGGAAAATGGCTCCTCACTAAGCAAATGACGAAACAGATGGTCACAAATGTATTTTGCGGCCTCAGGCCCACCGTGCCCGTCATATACCCCAACAAAAGTGGCGTCCCGGCCCGTCTCCACCTGGCTGTGATCCTCTATGACCTCGTTCGCCTGGACCACAGCAAAAGAGAACTCTCCCTGGAAATGCTTCTCGAGGTCCCTAGACCATAGGAGTGAGTCATCTTCACCTCCAGCGCCATCATCATCATCATCATCCTTCCTCATACGGGCATATCGACTCAAGGGCCGGAAGCAAGAGGACACTGTTCTTCCAAACGTGGAACACATCCCTCATTTCCTTCTTGTTTCAGGACAATGGTTTGTGGGCACACTTTTGACTGAATAACAAGGAAAACAAACAAACAAAGAGCAAAATTCAAGAACTCAAATGAATACAAACAGACACAATGTAAAATCGATAAGCCCGAAGAGAAAAAGGGGCAATCAAGAGATTCTTAAGAAAAAACAAAAGAATTCGATTTGAGAATTGAAGGGAGGCAGGAAAAGGGTATTAGGAAACTGCAAAAAAAAAAAGAAAGCATGAAATAATCAATGGAACCTCGGATCAAGTTAAATTTGGTCAACGCTGAGGAATATAATTGAGAAAATTGATGGGAAGAAAGCCCCCAATTCCCAGGCAACTCCTCAGGGACCCTTAAACACCGGAAGCACCAAAAAGGGGAAAAAGACAAGACAAAGAAAGAGGGCTTGCACGATCCAATCAATATTAATTAATTTTAAGAAACTAAATAATAATACTGTAATAAACAAAAGAACTGAATAATATCGTCGCGTAAAAGTTGTAAATCACGATACTTGGTGAAAAAAACATGAACATCATCTTCTTATTTTCAAGAAAAAACAAAAGAAAAAGAGAGAGAAGAACTTACAAATCTCTTTGATATCAACGATACGAGAAGTACCCACCAAAGAATTTGATCAATGCACAGCAACACAATGCGAAAAAAAAAAAAAAAAAAATCTTCTTTTTATTAAATCTAACCGCAAATTGAGAAAATACTTTTCGCAAGGTATATATAATATATATATAAAAAAAAAGATAATTTCTTGGCGTAAAAATAGTGAAAAAAGATGGAGAAATTGGGACAAATTTCCCTAGGGACCTTCCAGATTTGTTGTAGAAAATTATAATTCGCAGCTACAGAGGAAAAAAGGAGCAATTTTGGAGAGAAAATGCATCTGGGATTTCCCTATTTTGATAGGTTATCAAGATTTTTGCATCAAAAAAATCCGTATATTGTACGAA